GCGCGCTAAGTGATAAAATGAACAATGATGGGGCAGATGGCCATTGCTAAAGCTTTGCCTGGATTTAACGATCTTGCACGTTCGGCGACCCCTGCTTTTCTTTCCAGAAACAGATTTTATTTACAGTTATCTCCACATTGTCCAAAAATGAACAAAAAATGATGTGGGAATTAGAAAAAATTCAAGATTTCTGTCCACGGGACATCGAATCCTGAAATCTTGCGGCTGCAATTAAGGCGCGTGAAACTACTGTCGCTAAATGCTTGTTCTTGTTCTTATTCTTTAAGGAACCTCGCCAGCTAGACTAGCTCCACTTACACAATATTTGGCAGAGAACATTCCACTTCAAAGATCTAATTGCAATATATTTGGGCTTCCAGACACTGTGGTCTTATTCGCTAACGAAGCCCGATTTTTTTCAGATTTAGGGTGTTCTTCCGGGCATGTTCTCTCCAAAACGAAGTCGGTGACCCCCCATTCTTTTTACATTTCTGACATAATTAACTCATCATCTCACAGTGGTAAAAGTCTCGAGAAAAATCAATGTTGGAAAATTTTCTCGCGAACGTCCTTAAAAGGATGTTTTTATTGGAAAGGGGGTAAATCTTGTTCGAGGAGAGCGCAAACGGAAGCCCTAGTGAGCTGAAACTGTTCTTGTTGGCGCGCTTCCATTCCGTTGATGCATCTGCTTGTATGGCGTCTGTAACCAAAGNACATAATTAACTCATCATCTCACAGTGGTAAAAGTCTCGAGAAAAATCAATGTTGGAAAATTTTCTCGCGAACTTCCTTAAAAGGATGTTTTTATTGGAAAAGGGGTAAATCTTGTTCGAGGAGAGCGCAAACGGAAGCCCTAGTGAGCTGAAACTGTTCTTGTTGGCGAGCTTCCATTCCGTTGATGCATCTGCTTGTATGGCTTCTGTAACCAAAGTATTAATTTCTTAAGTTCCTGCCTAATTACGTTATACTCACAAACACAATCACGGCATCATTTGTTTTCTAGGTGTTTGGTGGAAATGTTGACCGCAACACACCTGTCCATCACTTACTTCACCCACGCATCCAAGCCAAGTACGTTCGATTCCATCCCAGGACTTGGTATGGTCACATCTGCATGCGAGTTGAGCTGTATGGATGCAATGGTAAGAAATGGCGAACAGAATTAAGAAAGCTTTGACGAAAAAAATAAAAAAGGGAGCCTGTAGAATTGAATAAATCTTTCAGCTTTTAACTTTATTCGTCGGCGTGACAAAGATCTTGTTACAAGATTCCGAGATATCTGAGATCTAGGTTTGAATTCTGTAGTTTCGAAGATGTGTACATGTAGTTTCGATCGAAGGTCTGGTTCAACTATGGGAAACAAAAACGGCTATAAATAAAGCGAAACGAAAAGAAAAACACTAAAGCGAAATAAATGCTTAAAGGGTAAGGTCACTCCAAAACACGTATAAAACTTCGTGCAAGGTTTTTATTAACGTTGACAAAAAGTATTATTTTCTGTCAGCGCTAATAAAAACCGTGGACTAAGTTTAGCCACTCACCGAAGTTTCCGCCTCTAAAGTGCAGGGTTCCCTTATGAAATTCATCGCTTGGAAAATGAAAAATTACATCATCTAATTAGCCAAGAGGGGGAACGACTTTCCCGCTATTTGAGTACATTTTCAAGGGAGCTTTTTTCTTTATGAAAATCACTTCTTTGTCACTCTGATATGTGGTGTTGCCTATCGACATCCAGAAGTAAAGTTAATCATATCTGTTTCAGTATTTACTAAACCCAAGAATGATATTATTTTTTCGCCCGTTAAAGTCCGATGGTTTCTTTCC